CTCCAGGCAATCTAAATCCTGTCTGGAGAAAGAACAGGAAGAGAAACTCAAAGAATAGGAAAAGAACTAGAAGGGCAATAATCACGACGAAGATGTTTGATTTAATCTGCAGAGCAATCATGCAACAATACATGTTTTATGGCACCGGTGCTAATCAACAGATAAAACGCGAGGGTTCAAATTAAGGCGGTCGGCCATGTTGCAATTGCTTCCAGCTTGCGGTCCTCCCCGATTCAAGGACGAGCATCCTCCGGAGATCGTGCGGCGCATCCAGTGCAAACTGGACATAGGTGACGTCCTCCCTCGTATTCCTCCGCATGCGATTACGTAGAGTTTGCTTGGAATCACAAGATAGCTCCGCCTCGCTCGCCAGGACTCTGGTGCAGATGGCACGAGCGAGGGAGGAATGGAAGAAGATGAAAGTAAAGAAAATAGCACAAATGCCGATCAAGCCGAAGGTGTTCCCACGGTTCAATTTGCTCATCAAAACATTTTTCACCAAGTTCGCGTCGAGTAGTCCACGTCGAACTCGGAGTAACCCCACTTATAATGCCGACCCTGGAAGCTAGAAGGTGTGCAGGACAATGAGAATCGAAACGTGGGAAGTTGTCGGGATTACACCCGGAGCATTAACATCGCCCTCGGGCATTGACGCACCTCAACTTCAAGCAGATCACACTCGTTCTTTCATTGATACGAAATGCGGCTTCGGAAGAACTCAAAATCGCACACGGTGTTGACCGAGGTAAGTGTTGAGGTCATGAACCAATGTAGACTAGAGGTGAGAATATTCGAATAAAACAAATCCGCTTTGGGTGCGCGTGTATTATGAGCGGGGGCGCGAGGCGGCTGTCAACTACCAACCCTTCAAAACAGTAATATGAGGTAGGCGGGACGAGCGTGTAGTGCCCGAGAGCATGCGGAAAATTACTTAACGCAACCGATGAGCCCACAGTACAATTCCATCTCAAGTGTAGACCTTGAGCATTGCAACTTGAGGGATCGTCGTTGCAAAAGATGTCTTTGAGATGTCCCGTCTTGACAGTTGAACTGGTGAGTTTTATTATGCGTGAAACTGCAAGCGCGCGACAACGGGGTGGAAACATGTAGGAAGCCGTGTATGGAAAGGCAGATGAAACGGCGGAGGCTCACGCGCTCAAGCCTAAGAGTACCTGGCCCACGGCTGGCGCCGACCGCCGTCAGGGTCAAACGGCGTCAATTCGCCGGACTTGAATTTCGAAAGTTCTTTGCCGTGGAAGGTGCATCGATGGACAATTCCTTGGCGTTCTGCGGGCTTGCGCATGAAAACGAGCGAGTTGTCAACATGCCGTAAGGCCATCACTGGTTGTGCTGCCTTTCACACCCACCTCCGACAACGCATTTATGCGACACTCGTGCGCGGCATGTGGGCCTTGCCAATGAGTACTTGAGTCGGCGGCCCTTAACTCGACCCGTCCCAACTCTCTGGCAAAATCAACGCAAACGCTGTCCCGACAAGTTCAAGAGTTCGGACCTTCCTGGCCCGCCAGTGGCCTCTGCGGGTAAGGATGTAGTCCCCCGTCCTCAGCGACGGTGCACGCTCAACGCGCGCTGTATCAGCTTGCATGGTTCACGTTCGAGCATAAATTGCACTCTTAGGGCTGCTGATTGGGCTGATCAATTCTGATTCAAACCAAGCTCTTGTCCTCTAGACTGGTTGGATCCACTTGGTCTTTGCGTCTATTCAGTGGCAAGCCGCATTTCTCTTCGCGGATACAAATGTCTCAAATCTTGGCGTTTTACTGGTGGCTGACGGTCTCGCATTCGAAAAGGAGAGGGTTCACAAACTGTCAGCCTCTATCGCTCTTTCCCTTCTACCACCACCACCCACTCCCAAGAAATACGCTCTCTCACAGTAATTCCAACTTCTTCCATCCGTAGCCGTCGTAACTGACCTAGCCCATCCCAGATGTTGACGCTCTTTCACAAGAAAAGGACCGCGGCCTCCTCCGTGTCAAAGCCTAGCTCTTCGACCACTCGATCCGGCCTCAAACCCCTCCATCTGGTCGAAAAGCTTGTCGCAGCGAATGTTATCGCTCCTCAGGCCCCGCCGCCACCTCCCCGACTCAACCTCATCGGGCGCAACAAGAATCCCCGCTCGAGTCTTCCGCTCAGTCGTCCGTCCGCCGCCAAACCCCCCAGACTTTCGCTTCCTGCTCAAATTGTCAAAACAGCACGGGCCCCATTCGTCGTTCCCTTGCGCTATTCCTCTCGTGTCGCCCCCAGGCCCACCTCGCGACCCAGTATCCCCGAGCCCACCCCGAGCCGTCGCCCGATCCGCGCCTCAAAAGCACCCCCCGTCCTCAAGGCCGTCATCCCCATCGGCCGTGCTCGTACTAGCGTCGTCTCGGGACAGAACCCCAAGGTCGCGGTCAACTGTGGCAAGGGCAAGACGGCGGTGACGACCGCACACAAGCCTCGAGTCCCTTCCACCCAGAGCACCAAACCAACGGTGGTCAAGCGACCGCAAGTCAAGAGCCCCAAGGTCGTCGCCCTCAAGAGCCCCGGCATCCCCTCGCGCATCCCGGTCTTCGTCAGCCGCACATCCACAGGACCGTACACTCCATCGCCTACTCCGCGCTCTAGCTTGTCTCGCATCCCGCGTCTCAAGTACGCTTCTTCACCGTCTTCGCCTTCCTCGACCTCTTCCGGGTCCGTCGTTAGCTTCAATCTTGCGACCCCGTGCCCGTCGCCCGCCCAGGTGGTAGAGGCCCGTCAAATGGCACCAAAGATCGTCGTGTTCAAGACCGTGGAGGTGCAAGTAACGATTGAGGATCTTGATATCGAGGCGATTGGGCTCATCGTCGAAGCGTGTCCCAAGCTCGATAGTGCAGAAATGGAGGTCGTGGAGGCGGAGGGGGACGAGGATGCGGAACCAGAAAGCGACGCCACTCATCTCAGCAGTTCTGGTAACGCTGAGAGCGTCTGTGTGGAAGCTCCCGCACCCACCGAATTCCGTGCGTCTGAGGAGAAGACCGACAAGAACCAGGAGACGAGGAGTGGCGAGGAGGGCGGCGGGATAATGGGCCAGCTTATCGGCGAGCTCAAGAACCGACTTTCATGGGGCAAGAGCAAGAACTCGAATTCTCCGTATACCATCGATCGACGCGGGCGCAGGCGTCCGACCAGCACCAGCAACGAGAATACCGTTCCCGATACGACCAGTGAATTGCAGCAGGCATTCGCTCGCAGACAGTCCGCAACTGCGTCTGGAACGTGGAAATCAGATTTCATGAAGAAGCAGCCCGAGAACAAGAACCAGAATACGAATACGGCGACCAGAAAGCCTTTGGCGCCTGTTCCCCGCCTCAATCCCAACGTCGTCAACGGCTCGATCCACCACGTCTTACCGCAAACATCGACGCCAACCCTCGTCATCCCCACCCCCAATTTGGTCGACTCTCCCAACGACCCCCAACCCGCATCCCCTCCGCCTGGCGCCGAGGAGGATTTCGTCGTCACCGAGTTGGTGAATACAGCGTTCGGTACGCGGCGCGTCCGTCGACTCGTAATTCCGCCAATACTCGAGAGCGCACAACCGTCGCGCGATCCCAAGATTATAAACGAGTTGAAGTCGCTGAGGGCGCAGCAGAAGGTCATGGCGGCCGTGGAGAAGGTGGGCGGGAGATTATAAATGTGGGGGTTGGATGTGAGTCGAGAATCTGAAGATGTGCTTGTTTTACGTGGGGGCGGATGAGTAGATAGTTTGAAGTGTTTTTATGTGGGGGGTGGCGGCGAGTCGAAGAATAGTTTCTCTACATTCATTTCTCTGTCTCTTTACCTCTGGGCTCGTTTCCTGTATACATTGGAATCTTATCGTGCAAATTTAGGTGATCTGAGTTCTGAGCAGCTTAAAACACGTCTATAGCTATACGGCACTGAGCGCTATTTTTGCACTTGTCTCAAATCTCCCTATTTTGAGGACCCACAACTCTAATCTCGATTCGGTCGTAGATCCGGTGGCTCTTGAAGGCCGTATTAATACAGCCACAGAAAATGTGTGGTGTTCATAAATACTTAAAATAGGCCACGCTGCACAGACGCCCCCTCTTGACTCTTCATATCTCAGTCAAATCTCGGTGGAGAAAGACTCGTTCGCCATCGAGGCCCATGTAGGGCTGCGCCACAACTTACAGATGTACTCGTCCCAAGAAATGAGGAGCCATTCTCCTACGATATGTCGGATTACCAGCTATTTTCTGCTTGGAGGACCAAGAGGTCCAGGAGGAGGGTGAAGAGATGGAAGTGGTGAGTGCTGGAGAGCGGCCTAGCACAGAAGCACCGTCTGCGGAAGTGGAGGATGCCGAGGATCGGGAGTGCCCCAGTGCAGAGGGGACGCCGCCTGCGTTGGTCGTCGAGGAGGAGGAGACGAAGGTGGAGAGTGTTGGGACCGATAAGCGCCCCAGTGGAGAAGAATACAGGTTTGTGTGTCTTTCAGTGAAGTCATATATCCAAGGAAATATTGCAGGCCCAGTTTCAGGCGAAGAAATGGTTGATCCAGTTTCAAAATTGGTCCAGTGATATGCCCCAGTTGGATAAAAAGTTGGTCAAGGAGTAGGAACCCGTTGGAACAGAACTGTTTCGACCATGTGCATGAATCTCGTTGAATGCATGATAAATGTCCAATCTGGAGTTCCGCATCCATTCTATGGATATAATAAGTATGAAGGACTTCGCGAGTAACCTCTCGTGCATGCAGCATGCGTCCGAGCGAGATGGACAACTGAAATGAACGTAACCGTCGGTGGCGGTGCAGGAGAGCTGATGGCGTTGGAAACAAACACCGACAATCAAATCACGGTTCAACTTGGAACTTCAACCTTGCACTCTCAGTGTTCACTGCTCCCCTCATGCTCGATGCCTGCTGAAAAGAAATCGTGGCAAGTACGTTAGCATCTGATTAGGCAGGTTCCACATGGTCAAATCTACGTCAAATCTTATCGATGGCGCTCATTCACAATGGCCGCCTGGCGAAATGGCATCGCGTCTGACTACGACGGGGCCCTAACGGGTAATCTATCAGGCTGGCGGGCTCATGGGGGGTGCATCGACGGAGATTGCAGGTTCGAGACCTGCGGTGGTCATTTTGCCGTCGTTTTACTGCTCTGTTGTTCCAGATTTCATCCAAGTTTCATCGTTTTCAACAGATTTTGTGGTTTGAATTTTTTCCGGCGACTGTACTATGTGTCCATGGCCGGCTACTGTGACTAGACAAACGACTCCAAGAGGCCCCGAGGCCCCATGAAGCTCTGGAAGTGGAGATTGAATTTCTGAACTTCCTTCGTTTTGCGACAGTTACCAAACTCACCTCATGGTCGCTCGAATAAACTTTTCCGCCAAGAAATGGCAAACTCTTCGCCCTCGATGTTTGCTCAAAGAAACTTTGTCGCCTAACATGTTGCGGTAGTCCTCCAAACTAACTTGCCCGCACCTCACCTCGTGCATGTTCAGTCAAATAAACTTTTCAGAAGGCCGCAACATATTTTGTCCAACAGAGACCGCAACATGCACAGATAAAAGTAGCAACCGGCACTCAACGCCCCCCCCAGATTCCAATGGTTTCCCCTCCAGCTGAAATTATTAAGCGTCAAGTAGATGCCCTCTTCTTCTCCGACCAGACCTACACTGAATACGCTGCAGGCCAACAAGTCATTCAAGGCGGGCGATTATCAAGTTGCGACGGCGTTGTACTCCCACGCCATGCGCCTCGACGCGGACAATCCTCTCTACGTGCTAAACAGAGCTATGTCGAATTTGAGATTGACCAAGTGCGATCCCTCTACACCTCCAAACGCCCTCTCAATGTTTTTGATGCAGCTGGCAAGACGCGGGAAACGACGCTGACCAGGCGTTGAAGCTAACTCGGAACGACCCCGAAGCGGAGCAAAAGGCGCTGTTTAGACGCGCTCGGGCCAGGAAAGCGCTGGGCAATGAGACCGGCGCCCGCAAAGGTACTGTGATCTTTCAGCGTGTGTTTATAGTGTGCTAACCCGGAGCCAGATCTGGAAGCGTACGTTGCGCGCGGGGGCCAACAAGAATTAGCAGACGCAGAAGCTCTCTTTGACCCTCTCACCATCACCAACTCGAACGCAACTGTCACCCTCATTCCAGCCGCGAATACGTCGGCCGGCTACAAAGTCAAAGATACCGCGCTCATGGGAAAGGGTGCCTTTGCCACCCGCGCCTTTCATAGAGGTGATCTGATCCTCACTGAGAAACCTCTCTTCGCCCTTCCCGAATCCAACGACCTGAGGGAATCTGTTCTCCCAGTCTCCGCAGCTGTTGAGCGCCTCTCCCCCATCGAATTGCTCCAACTTCTCTCCCTCCACGCTTCGTACGACGGGAACGTTTTTGTCAACATCTACCGCACCAACTCGATGCCGTGCGGCCTCTGCCTGATTGCCTCGCGATTCAATCACTCGTGCCTCCCGAACGCGCGCTATTCCTTCCACGCTCCCAGCAAGTCCCTTAGAATATTCGCGCTCACAGACATCGCCCCGGGTGAGGAACTATGTGTGTCGTACCTCTCAAGCCGAAATGTCTACGGGAGTACCCGCGCCCAGCGCCAGCGGCGCTTCCTTACCAGTTTCAACTTTTCGTGCGGGTGCCCCGCATGCTCCCTCACCGGCGCCGAGCTGGAAGCGAGTGATGCCCGCAGGCGCGAGGGCGCCGCGCTGTGGGACGGCCTGACGAAACACGACCCGCGGTTGCACGGCGGCCGCGTGGTGCGCGACGCCGTGCGCGGCATCCGTCTCCTGCGCGAGGAAGGCTACATGGCAGACGCGGACGACTTTGCACTCGACGCGGCCGCGTTCTGCGCGATGCACTCTGACTGGGAAAGCGCCAAGTACTGGGCGAAGTTTAACTACGACACCAAGTGCGCGGAGTTTGGGAAGGACCATGAGCATGCGCGCAAGGCGAAAGTGTACTGCGACGATCCTCGCCGGTATGCCCAATCTGGCATGTATTCGGGCCAAAAATTCCCTGCCCGTGTGTAGCCTCCTATGTACATACTTCCCCTTCCATTCTCTTAATCGTCTGTCAATTTACATCGGGACCCCAGTCCAGATTTATACACCGACAGCTCGAGGGCCAGAATACAACCTTTACGCGCACAGTCTCCAAGAACAGCGCAAGCATAAGTATATTGTAATCTAAAAACAAAACAGTGTGGTTGTGTACATGCAGTGGGTAAAGTATTCGTGTTCGTATTTGAGCGAGAGTAGTGAACGGCTGGTGGTGGTGCTACTGTTACAGAGAGGGGTACTGTACGCAAGATCAACAAGAGTCTTTCTTTGTTCGTGTCTAGGCCGGCCGCAAGTTGTATTGTGCGTTGTGCGCGTCTGACGCCGACGGCGGGTAATATAATAAGCCGCCAATGTCAGTCAATAATGTCAGAGGGTATCGTAAAAGAGAGATATAAAAAGTCGTCCGAGATCGCCAGAAAAAAGTCCAAATCAGTACGAGAACACCATCAGCCAAGGGTTCAACACGATCTGTGGGCGGGGAGGCGGGGATAATGAGAACAGGGGGCTAGGGGGAGGCGGGAGGATGGCTTACAGGGAAGAGGATATGGCAGGACGTCACGATGCTGCAAAATGATTCATCCGGAGTCAGTTCACATACGCGGGGCAGTATGCACGGATAAAGCTTACGAGAGGGGGAAGATAACACCCCACGAATCCCCACCGACACGCCACTGCAACGGCACGAGAGTCGTGGAGCACACGATCATGCCTGCGATAATGATGACGGAGGCAGTCAAGGGGAACCAGAACCTAGCAGCGCGGCAAGCGTTAACTGAGGGCTGCAGAAAGAAACGGGAGCACTACGTACCGTTTGAGGATTTTAGGAATTTCCTTGAAGAAATTCGAACGCTGCACTTCCTTGATGGTCGCCGACCAAGAGATGTTGTACCTGGATATCGGCGTCAGATCGAGCGGGAAAAGATGGTGGGCGGCATCTTACGAAAACAAATGCGCGAGGATAGCCTGACTAATCGGAATACCCAGGCCACCAAAGAAGAAAAAGCTGATTACGGAGTGAGTGGGAAAACAAAACAAAAGACTCCGGGGGACCCCGACGCACAAGAAGGGAATCCACATGAGGTTAGTGAGGAAGCCGCGTATCTGCCGCGAGGATGAACAACAGTTGGGGCTAAGGGTACACGGGGGACTCACCAAGTCCTTGTGCCCAAGACGGTATTCCAGGAGGGTATACCCAATAGTTCCGGTCCCGAAGAAAACGACGGTGGTGGCGAGCCAGATTTCGAAACTCGGGATGTAGAAGCCGTCGACGGGGAACTCGAACCCAAGCAGGACGTAGTTGACGACACCAATGGTGACCGAGGCCGCGATACCGTCTGAAAAAAAATAAGGATGCAATGTTATCGGCGGACTAAAGCACGTACAATACGAGAACATGTCTAGCGCGCGCGTTAGGAAGAGAAATTAACAACAAGAGAGAACGAAAAGCTCACAAGCCATCATGGAGATCTTGTAGTGCATGGGCGCAGCCTTGCACCACAGGAACTTGTGTATCTGCGACGTAACCGGTCCGCGTCTCCACCACTGAATAAGAGGGTGGAAGAGCAGCTCGCTGCACCCGTAGGCGTATTTTTGCCAGCGATTTCTACGACGACGATTTTCAGTCACACGAGCGCAAAAGTGGGAAGGAACAGACGTACAGCTCGTCGTCGACGGTGAGCGACACACCCTCCTTGAAGCCGCCCTTGGAGTACGTCGCCCAGCGGATGATGTACCCACGCAGGAGCAGCCGCAGCGCCATGTCGAAGTCCTCGGACACATTCGTCTCGGACCAGATCTTCTCCTTGCCGTCCGCGGGGTCGATGAAGGCCGCGTCCTGGATAGCCTTCCAGCGCAGGAACGCGTTGTGCCCCATGAACGGCGCAACCTCGCCGTTGGCGCATGCTGGTGCACATTTGAGCAAATTGGGGCTTGGTATTAAGAGGAAACGCACCCATCGAGATACACCTGTTGATCCGGCGCGTAAAGTACGAGATACCGTTTTCAAAGTAGTGGTGCGCGACCTGCATGACGTCCGACTCGTGCTGCAGGATCGCGACCGTAGGGCACTCGGTCAGCTCTCTGGCAGCGTCCCGGAGACAATCCTATCGCTCATTCGTAAGGTGGATTTTTTTCAAAAAGGGAGGAAAAACAAACCTCTGGCACGATCGTATCCGAGTCCACAATCAGAACATACTCGCCCAGCCGTGTCGATTTGCCGTTCGCCGCCCAAGGACGGAACTTGCGCCCGCTCTCCTCATACATCTCCTCAATCGCGAGATTAAGCGCGCGCTCCTCGAGGTCCTCGCCAACGCCGCCCTCGCCCCACCCGTTCCCAATCACCCCCATATCGTCCCCCTCGCGATTCTGGTACTGCATCCCATACTGCCCCGAGCCCGTATAGCTGCGCGTGTCCCCGAACCCCGACGCCAGGCTCATCCGGTGCGGCATCCCCAGCTGGTGCCCGAACCCAGGCCGCCCCCCACTGCCCAGCCCGGGACTCGGCATCCCCGCACCGAGCTCCGCCAGCGTCGGCGTCGCGCTCGGGTTCCCCAGCCCCGCGCTCGCGACGAGCACCTCTAGATGCCTCTCCGCCTTCAAACTGAGCTCGAGGCCGTAGTTCATGTTCGACGCCTTCTTGAAGCGCCCTGCGCGGCGGAAGCCGCCGGGCGCGTCGTCGTGCTTGGGCCGCGCGACCCACCCGATGTTGTGGTTCGCGTAAAAGGCGAGCCGCTCGTCGCGGTCGGGCGCGGAGAGGAGGCGGAGGCCGTCGTCGTTGATGAAGATGGTGGAGGTGCCGCCCTGGCGCGCGTACGTCTGCATCGCCTTTTTGATGGACTCGATCGAGGGCGCGAGGACGGTCTGCAGGCTTTCCTTGTAGACGGGCATCTGGATGGTGATGTGCGGCAGGTTCTCGTCGACGACTTTGTTGGCGCGCGGCTTGATGGCGCTGTAGTATTTCGAGTTTTCGTGGAAGTGCGCGACGGGGCCGATGCTGGACGGGTGTCAGTGTTATATTTTGTAATAAAACTTGGAAAGTACGTACCACATGGTGACGT